TCTCTGTCTCTCTCTCTCTCTCTCTCTCTCTCTCTCTCTCTCTCACACACACACACACACACACACACACACACGAAAATCCCTTAGTGGAGGTGACCTGGTCATCTCTGCTTGGTTTTGAAAATATTTTGCTTCTGTAAAGTTACAGAAACACAGAAAGAAGGAAACAGCACCATCTGTTGGCAGAAACCAGAAGGCCTTGGAAATGAATTTTTTTATTCCTACCTGTGAAATTCTAAACTCGTGTTATACACTGATTTTCTGTCTCTAAAAATATGCCTTTAGCCAAAATGTTTAGCTGTTCTTTTGAAGTATTTTTCTGACTTGGAAATGTTTTTTTTCCCTCACAGAATTTTGCCTTATGGTTGTTTAGCAACAGGAGATCTTTCTGGCTTAATTGAGGTTGTTTCTAAATCTGAGACCATTGCAGACATTCAGCTGAATAGTAGTAATGTTGCTGCTGCTGCTGCATTCAATAAAGATGCTCTCTTAAACTGGCTCAAAGAAAACAATTCAGGGTAAGTTGCTGTTCCTACTTACTTACTTACTTACTTACTTACTTACTTACTTACTTACTTACTTACTTACTTACTTACTTACTTACTTACTTACTTACTTACTTACTTACTTACTTACTTACTTACTTACTTACTTGATTTATATACCACTCATCTAGCCACTCTGGGTGTACTTCAGACTATCCCACAATTAAAGAGACAAGACAGTAGCAAAATAACAGTTGCAAAACAAACACTACAAACATAGAATTGTAGAATGATTGAGTTTGAAGGGTCCTATAAGGCCATTGAATCCAACCCCCTGCTCAATGCAAGAATCCAAATCAAAGTAGATCTGACAGATGGCTGTCCAGTTTTCTCTTGAATGCCTCCAGCATTGGAGCCCTCACCATGTCCCAAGGTACACTGGTGCATCGCAAGACGATTGCCTCGCGGGACGATTAATCCGCAAGACAATTGGTTTTTGCGATCGCTGTGGTGCTTCACAAGACAATGTTTTCTATGGACGTTTTTCACAAGACGACGATTTTTCCCTGTTGGAATGCATTAAATATATTTCAATTCATTCCAATGGGGAACCGCGTGTTGGAATGCATTAAATATATTTTAATTCATTCCAATGGGGAACTGCATTTTTCAAGACAATGTTTTCACAAGATGACATTTTTCGCAGAACGAATTAACATAGTCTTGCGAGGCACCACTGTAATTGGTTCAATTGTTTTACTGCTCTAACAGTTAAGAAGTTAAGAAGATATTCAGCCTAAATTCAGCTTCCAGTTGTTCAAGCCCACTATTATGTGTCCTGTAATCTGTTGAGAACAGATCCTGTCCCTCCTCTGTATGTATTAGTCTATTATATCATTTAAATGTTCTTTTCTCAAGGCTAAACATGTCCAGCTCTTTCAGTCCAGTGCTCAAGCCTATCCAGGTCATTTTGAATTTTATTCCTCTCTTCCAAAGTATTAGCTATTCTATCCAATGTTGTGTCATCTATATACTTGATAACCATTCCCTGCAGTCTCTCATCCAAGTCATTAAAAAAATGTTGAAGAGCACTAGGACTCAGCCCTAGGGTAACCCGCTTGTTACCTTTTCCCAATTTGAGAAGAGCCATTGATAAGCATTCTCTGAGTACAATTCTGTAACCAACTGTTTATCCACCTGATACTTGTTCTATTCAGCCCACACCCCATAAGTTTGCTAATCAGAATATCATGGGGCACTTTGTGAAAGGTTTTGCTGAAGTCCAGATATATTACATCTACTGCAATCCCACCGTCTACCAGGGAGGTAACCTGATCAAAAAATGAAATGAGTAGTCTGGAAGGATTTTTTCTTCACAAATCCAAGTTGGCTTCTAGTTATTACTGCATTGTTTTCAAAGTGCTTGCAGAGTGACTGCTTTATGATGTGCTCTAGAATTTTACCTGGGATTGATGTCAGACTGACCGATCTGTAGTTCCCTTTTTCCTCCTTTTTGTCCTTTGTGAAGATTGGGACAATGTTAGCTCTACTCCAGTCATCTGGTAGTTCTCTCTTCAGCCCATTCCTTCAATATCCTTGGATATAGTTCATCTGGCCCTGAGAATCTGAACTCATTTTAACTTGAGTATTTGGTTATCAATCTCAAGCTGCAATCCTATCCCCTCCATTTGCACTTCACATTTGCCTGGAGGAGCATACACTGTCTTCTTCATCCGTCCTCCATGATTTCAGAAAATAACAGACAGTAGTTCTGTGCTCTCTTCAGCCCATTCCTTCAATATCCTTGGATATAGTTCATCTGGCCCTGAGAATCTGAACTCATTTAAACTTGAGTATTTGGTTATCAGTCTCAAGCTGCAATCCTATCCCCTCCATTTGCACTTCACATTTGCCTGGAGGAGCATACACTGTCTTTTGGGAAAAGACTGAGCTAAAATAGGAATTGAGCACTTCTGCCTTTTCTCTGTCATCTGTAATTATTTTCCCACCCTCACTGAGTAGCTAAGCCACTCTTTATTTTCTTTGTCTTTTACTACTGTGGTCCCCAACCTTGGGCCTCCAGATGTTCTTGGACTTCAACTCCCAGCAATCCTGGCCAGTAGAGGTGGTGGTGAAAGCTTCTGGGAGTTGTAGTCCAAGAACATCTGGAGGCCCAAGGTTGGGGACCACTGTTTTACTATGCATGTACTAAAGTATGCTTTTTTGGTGCTTTTAGCATCTCTTGCTAACCTCAGCTCATTCTCAACTTTTGCCAACCTAACACCATCCCTGCAATTCGTTGCTATTTGCCAGTAATCTGCCTTTGTAGCTTGGCCTTCCTTCCATTTCCTATATGTGTCCTTCTTTTTACCACAGATCCCCACTGAGCCTTTTTGTGAAGCCACATTGGTCTATTTGCTCTCTTCCATCTCCCCCCCCCCCCTTTTGAAATTGTTTGTAGTTGTGCCTTTAGAATTTCCTTTTTAGAAACTCCCACCCATTTCCTATATGTGTCCCTTTTTACCACAGATCCCCACTGAGCCTTTTTGTGAAGCCACATTGGTCTATTTGCTCTCTTCCATCCCCCCCCCTTTTGAAATTGTTTGTAGTTGTGCCTTTAGAATTTCCTTTTTAGAAACTCCCACCCATCTTGGACTCCTTTACATGTTAGGATTTCCTATCATGGGACCTTAACTATTATTTTCCCGAGTTTATTAAAATTGTCTTTCCTAAAGTCCAGTGAATACATACAGCTACACTCTGCTTTTGTTTCTTTTGAAATCAAAGACTCACAAGTAGAACATAGTCATTTCCCCCCAAAGTTACTCTTCCTGCCAGTTCTTCCACCAACCAGGTCATCTCTAATGTTAGGATTTCCTATCATGGGACCTTAACTATTATTTTCCCGAGTTTATTAAAATTGTCTTTCCTAAAGTCCAGTGAATACATACAGCTACACTCTGCTTTTGTTTCTTTTGAAATCAAAGACTCACAAGTAGAACATAGTCATTTCCCCCCAAAGTTACTCTTCCTGCCAGTTCTTCCACCAACCAGGTCATCTCTATTAGTCCAGGATAGCTACTTCTCTGGTTTTTTTCATCCACGTTTTGTATGGAATGCTACACAATGCAGAAATTCCTTGGAATGTCCATGTTTGGCAAAAACTGTCTCCCAACAGATATCAGGGTAATTAAAGTAGCCCATTACTATTGCATTGTGTTTCTTTGAAATTCTTGCAATTTATTTTTAAAATGTTTCCTCTGGATCTTCTTCTTGATTGGGCGGTCAATAGTAAACTCCATCTACACGTTCCCTTTGTTTTTTGCCCCAATTATATTAACCCATTTTAATTATATTAGTGTTCTTTATGGGACAACCAAGTTCATTCATTTCCCTTTCTGTTCTTTTTGAACAATTTATAATCTTTCAGTTGCTGTATTACAGTCAGGAGAATCAGTCTTTCAGAAAGCTTAGCTCACGGTCCCAAAATCCAAATCCCTCATGTTGGCACCACCTTCATAGCCAGTCATTCACCCAGAGTATTTTCCTTTCCTTTTCTGTTCCTCTTCTGAGTACTAGTAGGATAGATGAGAAGACTATATGGGCCCCATAGTCCTTAGGTTTCCTTTCCAGAGCTTCAAAGTCTGATGTGATCTCTTCAAAGTTACTCCTGGCTGTGCTTTTGTTCCCACATGGATAAGAATAAAAGAGTATGTATCCATAGGTTTCAGGAGTGATGGCAGTCCTTATAACACATCCCTAATCTGTGCTCAAGAGAGACAGCATGCCTGGTAGGTCCATGGATCCTTCCCAGCATATTTCTGTTTCGATCCTTTGCAGTAGGGACTCTCCTACAACAACTACCTTCCTCTTGTTCTTTTTGAAGGATGTGGGTTCCGTGACAGTGATTTTGCTGAGTTTCAGCCCTTCTCATGTCCTCCTGTGGAGTCTTCTCTGCATGTTGTCTGGCACAATCCTCTTCAAGAATCTGAAAGTGGTTTTGCAGTTCCAGTGGGGAAGAGTGTCTTCACCTTCTTTTGTTCCTGTGACACTTTTCCATGGTGCTTCCTGAGCTATTACTCTTCTGAGCATTCTCTTCCATTGCTTTGTCTTGCTGTTCTTCCATCTCTAGTGCCTAGTGCCCCCCCCCATGACTGCTGCTACAATATTCCTGTCCTCCTCTTTCCACTGCCCCAGAAACTTGGGTAGATCATCCCCAAAAGCTTCCCTAAATAGCTCCTGTTTTAAAGACCTTTGAGTCTTTAAAGTTGAGTCATGGCAACTGAATTTCTTTCTTACTGGGTTGAAACATTTTGCTACTCATCCAAGTAACTTCTTCAGTCTGAGGAGAGTTGGTAGGAGACCCCTGATATATCCTCCACATTGGTTTCACTTCCCCCTGGTCTGAATAGGCTCTTTAGAAGGACAAGGACTGGAGGTGAGGGATAATCCCACTTCTGCAGTTGTTCTTCACCCATTGTGATGGGTCATTAACAGTTGTTAACAGTGGTCTTTCTGGTGTGTGTGGTCCTGACTTTTCTGGGGACCGATGAAAAGACAGCATGATAAATAGGAGAGAGATTGTATCTAAGGCCTCCACCCCTGTTTCTATATGTACATGTATGGCATCCCTGACCCCTCCCTCAAGTCCAACTGAAATTAATGGGAGTTACTCCTGGGTAGATAAATTTAGGATTGTGTCATTACTACATTGCCTATTGATAGTGTGTTTCCACTGTAAACCTCATAAAGGACAGTGTTCCCTCTCCACAGTGTTATTTCGGAAGAAGGAAGGTGAAGCCATTTCACATGTTGGGAGGTTCTTCTAGAACATACAAGACCCATAATCTGTCCCTTACTGATAATTTGAAAAAGCTATGAGACAGCTCCTTTGTTTCCCATTCTGAAGGCAAGATGCATTTCATGATGCTGTACCTGGGCTGAAATTAAAGCAACATTTCAAAAAAAAAGGGGGGGGTCTAATAAAATGCATTAAAATGTTTTGGGTAACCAGCAAAATTCTTTTTCCTCTTTTTTTTCTTTTATTCAATTTAGAGATGACCTGGATCGAGCCATTGAAGCCTTCACACTATCTTGCGCTGGCTACTGTGTAGCTACTTATGTGCTGGGCATAGGAGACAGACATAGTGACAATATAATGGTCAGGAAGAATGGTCAGGTAAGGGGAACCTTAGGCAATGATCTTCAGAAGGAAACATCTTGCTAGATAAATGATACTGACTTACTTCAGTGCTAGCCTCTGTGTCACTTACAACCCATGGGTTTTAAGCTTTGTGTCTTTCTAAAAATGAATAAGGACCACTTTTTCCTATCTATAAACCTTTTTTCTACTTTGAAAGGCTTTTTATTTGCAAAGATCTTTGCTTATATTTTGACAGTATGAAGCCTGCTTTGATTTGCACATCATAATTAAGATTGGATTTTGTGCTGTGCCTAGCATTGTGTTGATTGTTCTTCTGATAAAAAATTCATTCTACAGTGGTGCCTCGACTTACGAATGTCCCTACTTATGACCATTTCGAGTTATGACCAGCTCCAGCTGCAAAATTTTGCTTGTACTTGCGACTGGAGCTTCCACTTACGAATAGAAAAGGGCAGGGAAAAAAGGAAGGAAATTCAAATTGCTAACTGTAGGTGGCGATGAGGCTGCTTCTTTGTAGCTCTTTCACTCCAGCAGTCAGATAGCGTGTGTCGGAGGAGGCTTGGGATTGCCTCCTTCTGCTTCTGTGTGTGTGTGTTTGTGTGTGTGTCTGTGTGTGTGTTTGCAGGGAGGCTTTGGGCTCACTGGTAAGCTAAGGTGCTGTGTTCTGCTTTTTAAAAACTGTTCTGGGTGTTTTTGCAGTGTGGTTTTGTGCTGGGGGGTATGCTTCTATGCTGTGGTGGGTCTTGGAGCGTTTGTTTTTGGGGATTTTACCCCCATTTCCGATGGGTCTTTGGGGTTGGTTGGTTTGGTTGGTTGGTTGGTTTTCCCCCCATTTCTGATGGGTCTTGGAGGATTTTTTTTTGTTTGTTTGTTTTTTTCCCATTCCAGATGGGTCTTGGGGGTTTGGTTGTTTTTTGGGGTTTTTTCCCCATTTCCAATGGGTCTTGGGGGTTTGCTTGTTTGTTAGCTTCTCCCCCCAATTCCCATAGGTCATGGGGGTTTTGGTTGCTTTTGGGGGGTCCCCATTTCTGATGTGTCTTGGGGGATTTGTTGGTTGGTTGGTTTTTTCCCATTTCTGATGGGTCTTGGGGGATTTGTTGGTTGGTTGGTTTTTTCCCATTTCTGATGGGTCTTGGGGGGTTTGCTTGCTTTTGGGGGGGGTTCCCCCATTTCCTTGCTTTTGCATTTGTTTTCTTCGCATTTCCAACCTGCCCCCTTTGTTCTCTGTGCATTTCAGATCTGCTCCGTTTGTTTTCTGTGCATTTCCAATGGGTCTTGCGCGCTTGATTGCTTTTCTCCCCCCCCCCTCAGCCAGGAGGGATTAATCACATTTCCAATGAGTCTTGCAGTGATTTTGTATGTGTGTGTTGTTTTTTTCCTTTGGCCTGAACGGATTAATTGCATTTCAGTGCATTCCTATGGGAATGGTGCTTCGACTTACAACCATTTCGAGTTATGCCCATAGATTTTGGTCCTAAGTCAAGGCACCACTGTATATAAATAGTTTTTGATCTTCCTCTTTTCCTACTGCCTTTGAACTTTCCCAATATTATTGTTTTTTCCATAAGACTAAATATGAGATGGAGGAAGCCAACAACCTTGAGTTGGCAATAGCTGAGCAGGGCAGTTGAGGACAGGACATTTTGAAGATGGCTCATTCATAGAGTCACCATAAGTTGGAGGCAACATGATGGCACATCACAACATAGAAATACTTTTTACATAGGTATAGCTTTTATAAAAGGACATTGGGAGAATATGTTTCCACACTACATTGTGGAGTACATTGCTTTTTAAGATGTTAAGAGTAATATAATTATGAAATGGTTAATTACTTTTCCCAGATTGCTAGTTTATTTTATTATTCTTTTTGCAGCTCTTTCATATAGATTTTGGGCATATTCTTGGGAACTTTAAGTCCAAATTTGGAATTAAAAGGGAACGGGTGCCTTTCATTCTTACCTATGATTTTATACATGTCATTCAACAAGGGAAAACTGGAAACACTGAAAAATTTGGCCGGTATGTACAATTCTGTTTGTTCTGTTTCATAGTCTTAGAAAGGATTTCAAAATGCAGTAAAATGAAACAAATCCAGAATTGTGAATAGTATTACACTGTTCCATAGAATAAATCAAAGGGACATGATCCTGTACATTCTTAGGTGAGCTTTAGTGATTCTAAGCAAAAACATTCAGTTGCAAGGTCAGGGGATGGTCAAGCTGGTTTGTTTAGCTGCCTATAAAAATAAGAAACAACTGATGTAACATATTGTGGCAAAAATTCTATGCAAACACAGAATAACTTTTGCCAGCAACACAACTGGTCAGATTCAAACTTCTATTCTTTTCAGAGATATTGCTGAGTGTCTTCAATTTAGAGGGTAATGTTGCTGCAAACATATGTGTGTATCCCCATACAGAGCCTATTGCTTTTCTTGTGCAAACACTCTTATTTGCATTGCATAAACATAACACACACAGCCTTGTAAAAGTGTTATGTTTCTTTTGTCTCTTGTGGAGATGGTGAAATGTTGAACCTCACTGACTGCTAGGAACAGCCAAAGTTTACCGGACCTTGGAACTGCATATACTATATATGACAATATATACCATACATGACAAGATTTGTATAAAGTATCAGTTGTTTAAAAAGAATACCTGTTCTTTTTTCAAACAATCCTGGGAATATAAATGACAGACACTATTAAATAATTACAATAAGGGGGAAAATATTACTGTTCTACTTTCCCAAATTCCTCAAATCTTTATTTGCTCAATCATTATGTATTATTGGTACATTAGAGAATTATCTTTTCAAGCAAATGAAATGAACCTTTTGAATGAGGAAGAAAATACATCTGAACACATTCAGATGTGTAGGGAATGTATATGAAAAGTCAACACCTTGGAATACAGGGTCCTCTCACTAGAAGGCATTTAAGGTGTTATGCTTCTGATAATACTCAGTACACATCAATATCCTGTCTGCGGATCTCACGTGAAATCACTCCCTGAAGTGACTTCCTCTGAGTTTTTGCCCCAGACAAATTCCAGGTCTTTGAGGAAACTTTAGCAGATGGCCACAACCTTTCTCCCTTAGTCTCTGCTACCAATTAGCATTGCTGGAGCAACAAGTGAAAATGTCCTCCTTCTTTATATGCTGCAGAAACTATCCATAAGCTATAGAATTATCTGCTCATCTTTGAACTGTGCAATTTACGTTGTGCTCCAATTTGGAATAGTGCCTTTGGCTTGCTTCCTTTTAGCATCTGGACAGAGCTGTGGTGCTGCTGTATTCCGTTGCTATGTAGGATGAAAAGCAAACAGTTTGCAAGTGAATTCTATTTCAGAATAAACCACCTGTAGCTACTGGTTTGGCGTTGCCTGTTTGCAAAGAGAGGTACAATGAAAGCAGGTGGTGGGTTAAGACGTTCCATTATCTTAGATAACAATAGTGAGTCAAACAGCTGTGTTTTGAACCAGATCAGGCTGCCTGGAGTCTGTCCTACTTTTGGTTGCCCTGCTTTATTATATATGTTCTTTGTGGATCTTAAGGTTTCGCCAGTGTTGCGAAGAAGCTTATTTGATTCTGCGACGACACGGGAACCTGTTTATCACTCTTTTTGCACTGATGTTAACGGCTGGACTTCCAGAGCTAACTTCTGTTAAAGACATCCAGTATCTCAAGGTAACATTTGTATACCCATCTCAGATTTCCTTTGCATTTTCTCTTCTTAATTGTTTTCAAACTCTGTTCACTGAGGTGTTTCTGAGGTAGATTTGCCACACAAATAAAAATATAATTTAATGCACATGTAAACATTCAAAGAACCACATCAGTAAACAATGTTCCTCCTCAAATAATGTACATATAAATAAACGAAGCTGCCTTGTACTGAGTAAAAACAAGCGGTCTGCCTAGCCTAGCTTTCTCCTGTTGGTAGCCGCTTCCCAAGGTCTTGGGTCAAGGTTTTCCAAAGTGCTGCCATATTCTCCTCTAACTGGAGATCCTTCCACTGGGACACAGATACATTAAAGAAAAACCCTGCTGAATCAGACCAAATCCCTGAATAGTCCAGAAATCTGTTCATACAATGGTGAACCCATTTGCCTACAAGACTTTTCCCTCTAAACTACAAGGATGTTGGCAACTCTTTGGTACCAAGTACCAAGTCTGAGTCCAAGTCTTTGGTACCACATCCCAAACCCCAAGTTCGAGTCCCTGGTGGCAGCAGTTTTCTGGCTTTAAATCCTTCCATATCTCGCTGTGCATCTCCTGAAAGTTTCCTAGGTTGAAACAGATCCCTAAAGACCCCTAGAATCTAGGGGAGAAGGGGAGACCTGTAATTTCTCCAGAATGCTGCAAAACACCAAAGGGATTCTAGCCTTTAGCACTTTTTTTTCCACAAGCCTTTGACCCTTTGTTTCTCTGATCACATCCTTGCCTAAATTTTCAAATTTATTCTAATCATATAAATTTTACTGTAGAATTTGAACTACAGATCAGACAGGGACTAGTCCCTTGTTTTTTATAAGAGAATGATCTGGGGGACTCAGGAGTTGGAGCATATAGCATAAATGATCGTTCTGCTTTTTCACTCATAATTAAAACTCTGGTTAATAGAATACACATTCTTTGGCCTTTATTCTAGGACATGAATCTATAGGAGAAGTATGAATTAGTGAAGTCCTGAGGTATTATTTTGTTAGCCAGTACAACCGGAACCCAGATTCCAGCATATTTTGATAGCAGCCAGCAAAGTGCAGCTTGATGTCACAGGTTTACTTTTTGAAACGGCATTCCACAAAAATAATGAGCGTTTCCCTTAAACTGCGTCCCTCCCATGTGTAACAAAAGAGTGAGAGCTATTTGAAAGTGGTATGAGCTATAGACAACTCAGGGAAAATGAAAAATACTTTGAATAGAAGAGAATTATTGTTCAATACTGTTTTGTTCTTAGGATTCCCTTGCACTAGGAAAGAGTGATGAAGAAGCACTAAAGCAGTTCAAGCAGAAATTTGATGAAGCACTCAGAGAAAGCTGGACTACTAAAGTGAACTGGATGGCGCACACTGTTCGGAAGGATTACCGATCCTAAGTGATCTATGGATTTGCACTAAACTTAATGATACTCTGACAATAAACTGTTAAAAGGGAGACAACAGACCCTTTTAGAAATGGACCCAAGGAAATTGATAGAATGGTTCCTGATTATTTTGCACTCTGCTTTGGGATGCTTCAACTGGATTTTGTAAATTTAGCAGATGTCCTCAGTAATCACTTCTGCTGACTTTGCACATTGAAAGCTATTGCTAAGCTTTTATATTATTTTGATACACTGAGAAGCTGTACATATTTGGGATTTTTTTAATGTTTAGGTAGTGAACTCTACCTCTGTCCTGGATGGTTAGAGACATCTTGAACTGATTGTGAACCGGTATCAGTATCAGAGGTGTTTTGGATGTCCTTAATTTTATCTCAAGTGAACATTGTGTTGTGTACATACATTTTTCCGCCACTGGCATAAACATATTTGTTCTACTGTAAATAACAACTGTGAGATCATTGTACAGCTGGAAGCTAATTATATCTTGAACTGCAACCAGAAGAATAGATTTCTACACTTAATAATGATGGACAACTATTTAAAGAGACAAATGCTTTAAATAAAACAAGTGCTCAATGTTCCAAATGTGTTTAGAATTTTTGTGGAATGCAGTACATTCGGGACTACCTTGAGCTCTTAGAAAATTTTATCATGGAGTTTACTGTCTTCACATTTTTTTCTAAGCATCTCCTTTTTAAAAGCCTCCAGTATCTGAAGTTTTTCAGAAGCCTGAAGAGTTGGTCTGTCTGCTCTGCAGTGATGTACATACAATGTGTGTTGTGTGCAACCTTGTCTAACATGTGTAAATGGATGATTAAACAACAACATCAGCTGACAAGACAGCTACATCCCAAAAGAAGAAAACTGAATATCAAAGCTAAGAGGCATCTGGGTTATCTTTGTTTTTTCTTTTCTTTTTATTGCAGCATTAGAACTCAAGTCATTTCAAACTTGTCATTTACTGTGGCCTTAATTGCCTGTAGTTGATATTGTCTTGTCCAGCTAACTTGTGTTCAGTCTAAGATGAATGATAGACAAACTGGATTTGTTTTAATTTATCAAATAAGGTACCGTACTGGAAGGTGCTTCATGGAGAAGCAGTTGAGGTTAAAAGTGCAATAGGAGCTGCTTGTTTTGAGATGTGCCATACAATGTTTTGGAACTGTGGTGAGATAAACTTCCAACTCCTGCTTGCTCGCCAAAGGACACTGCTAGTCCTTTGTTTTGATGATGACTGAGTCAAATGAATTCTATGTAAAGTTACAGTGGGATCAAATCAGTGATTTTAAAGCAGGAATGGCATTAAAGATTACTGTCTTTTCCAGAGTATTTGACTTTGTCTAGGTGTGTCTCTCTGTATGTGTGTCTTTCTCTAAAACGTAGGGGTTGGGGGGGAATGGTAGCCCTGAATGTACTGTTAGACTGGAACTGCCTTCTGTCCTACCTATTGCTGAGGGGCAATAGCAATGTAATTGAACAACATGTGAAATATGTTGACCATTCTTACTCTACTGTCTAAAATCGGAGGTGGTTTTTTGCTAGATATGAAACTGCTGTCTCCCTAGGTATCCACGGTTCATGAAAACATTAGCATTAAAGCATGCTGGGGAATAGGTTGTAAATTCGAAGCAAAGTCACAATAATCTGTCTCCTGCTGCTTGTAATTAAGGAATGTGTCATAAAATTAAGGGTGGAACTGCAGCAGTTTCTCCCTTTTCACTTGTAACGCATCTGTGTTATATCTTATTGGAATGGCGTTTTCGATCAATCTGCCCTTTTAAAGACTTTGTTTTGTACCCATTGATTATAGTGTGTGCTTTTTCTCCTTCTTTCCTTGTTTGTTTGTGGCATACATGTAAACAGTACATTGCTGTTTTTCATCAGTGAAGACACTAATGAAGTACAAATCAAACTGGTGGGTTTTTCATTTGGAATTCATTCATTTGAGTTCCCCTTTGTTTTTGTCACTGAAATGAAATGAGCTTTTTCATTTAGTTTTTTGCTATTAAAATATAGTGTATACTTCTGATATCAGAGGTGCGCTTGTTAACAATGGCTTCCTACTGAAGTCCTTCCTTTAGAGTAGGTATGGGCAAATTATGACCCTCCCATTGTAGGACTGCAGTTCTTATCAACCTTAGTCAGCATTGCCAATAGTGAAGGATCATGTGAATTGTAATTGTAGCATTTGGAAGGCAGAACTTTGCTCACACCTTCTTTAGAGAGTCTAGAGCCCTTTAATAATGCAAACATTTGCTATACTGGATCCAAAGAACTTTAAGCAGAAGAAAAAGAGCAACTAGCAATATTTTGCTAACTCTGGCAATAATTCATGCTTGCTATATTAGATACATTGAGCTGACTTAATAAAGGAGGCTGTGGCCTCTAGTTCACAAGACCTGGGCAGGGCTGTTAACTGATAGGCTTATTGGAAGCCATAAGCTGAAAGTGACGGCCGATAAAAGCACATATTTTGTAAACTTGTTCACTAAATCTTAGATGTTTGTTCTTGGAAAAACATTATCTCTTCCTAATCCATTTCACTGAATAACTTTAATATATTTATCCCATATGATTTTGTTGGCAGTTTTGTATTCCCATTCATGTATGGTGATATTAACTAAATAGCTCTAATCTATGCTTCTAGGGGGGAAGTACTAAAGTAAATGAAAGTTCATTTATTTGCATTAGTAAAACAAGGGACTTTATACCCTTCTTTCAGAGGTGGATCTCTTTTTTTAAAGCCAAACCCTATTGGTTTATAGTCAGCTGGACATATACAATTCCATGTCTACTGGGTTTCTGTATTCACAAGGATGTGGTAGAGCAGCTCAATGACCATAATGGGAACCTTGTGTGCAGGTAGGTTCTACTTGTGAATTTAGGGTCACGTGAGGCCCTGAAACAGCAATTTGGCACCATCCAAGCCAGCAGGCAAGAAGCACATGTTTTCAAGCCAATCAAGCTGTAGGGACTTGACATTTTTTGGCTGAAATTCTGTAGCTTAGCATAGTAAGTTGCAACTAGAGTACACCCATTGACTCAATGGAACTTAACAGGTAAAGATCTCCTCTCTATATAATTGTTTTATATCTATGTTATAATTTGATTCTGTTTTGTGACCACCATCATCATCAGAGCTGTTTATTTGGGTTGTTTTTAGATTATATATGGATGGGTGGGAGGCTGAGTCCTTAGTCCTATGTTTTATGTTGGTAAACTGCCCAAAGTAATGGCATGCCACTAGATGGGTGGTGTAAAAATACAATAAATAACTAGGTTGACTCACCACATCACCACAGATTTCAGTGGGGATACTGTTTTCAGCCTTAAGGTAAGATACATGTAATACTTGATGTATTTCAAGAGATTATCCTTGGCAACAAAATGAATGATATAGCAACGGAATAGCCTAGCATATCCATTTTTTTAAAGCAAGCTCTATGTAACACAAATTCCCTTAGAAGTCACCACAGTCTTGCTTATTTGAAGTGTAGCTCAAAGAACAAAGGCCTGTTACTCCTTTTCATGGATTAAGAGATTGGTCAGACAAGAATCTGTAGAAAACTGTGGTACCATTGTGCAGGAACTAGCCTTTTCTCTTGTAACATTTCTTAAATGGAGAATGGGTTTATTTGATCAGCAGATAACTATACACTTCCATAAAATGGAGCCCATCACAAATGTTTGCGTTTCTCACCTCAGTAAATTATTAGAGGTCCATATGGATGACCAGTCTGTCCCAGAAATAGATTGTTAGATAGAAATGTGTTGTTCTTAATCATTTTTATAATTATGTGTTGTCAAATTGGTTCCAATGTATGATGACCTTTCTCAGGGTTTGCCAGCTGCAAAATTCTTAGTAGTTGTTTGCCATTCCCTTCAGGAGGCTGTCTAGAACTGCAGTTTGCCCAAGGCTACACAGGCTGGCTCTTTCAGCAAATAGGTATAGTGGGGAATCAAACTCATGACCTCTATCTCTGCAGCAGGATAACCAGCTCACTGAGCCATCTTCTCAGATATTAATTGCATCTAAATGTGATGGTGGATTATCACAGGGAAGATGGGGTACATTTATTGATGTGGAGTGGGTTTTCCTAGGTGATTTAGATGATGTGTCACAAGATAATCTTAATTGGTTCCCATGGTGAAATGCTGACAAATCAGTAAATTAGACATCATTGTTAGGAAAAGTGCCTCTTTTATCAATTTATATGGGATTATGTTGATTTAGCTAAAAAAACAGGTACCATAGAAGTATTGTTGGTAAAATACATTTCTCCTTCCAACAATGCTGGAATTAGGGATTCCAAATGCCCATGTAATACAAAATACATGTATAGCCTGTATGACCTCCCCAAAATGATGAAGAAAGACTCTATCAGCAGCAGAAAACAGAGATGCAATCGCCCCACACACACACACAGAGCAAGACATCACTGTGACCTTTCCCAACCTGGGTCAGCCTCCTGGCATGCCCCAACACCCTCCCTGGCTGTCATGTGGAGCAGCCATGCCAGGAGCTGGGGTTGGTTGAGCTGCTGGCAACAAAAGGGGCCTCAGTAAGTCCAACATCTTTCTCAGGCCATTTCCTGGAGACAAATAGCACTGTATTTACTGAATGAATATGCAGTTTTTAAAAAAACCTCCAGTTTATGAATATAGGATATTGTACTTCTGCACCAACAATTCAAAAATGCAGAAAATGTCTCAATATTGCTGCACAATATCATGCCCATGTTGCCAGCAGGAAAAAGGATGCCAACCTTTACATAGCAAAGGGCAGCCTGAATGTTGACAACAGCAATGGCAGCAGTCAAGATGGTCTACACAGGATACCCTGTTCTGCTCACTACCATTCACACTTGTTGAAAAACAGCTCTGACAATTGTTCTGTGTTTAGGCAAGAAGTGGTTAACTGATAAAAAAAGGAGTCTAAGAAGTGGTTAACTGATAAAGGAGTCAGCACCTGGAATTTTCCCTTGTGTAGTGCCACTTTGTGAATGGTAGTGGTGCTGGGGGACTCCTGTTCAACACCTTGACCATTAGCCTGTGAAGTGTCTCAGGGTTCCCCATACTATTTCATATATATATCAAAAACCTGAAAGAGGCTGGTCCCCATACTATTTCATATATATATATCAAAAACCTGAAAGAGGCTGTCCACAATTTTGTGGTACCACTGGTGTGCTGATGACACCCAACTCCCCCACTTTTTAAATCTTCTAGGTGGCCCTTCTCTCAGGCCCCAGAGTGTGATCACCCACCATCCCTTGCTAATTTCTCCATAGAATCTACAGTACTCTCTTACCCAGTAAAAATTCTACTAGTAAAAGTAATCTTAATGCACTGAAAGAGCCATGAATTCTGTGGTGTAGTCTGCGGGTGCAAATGCGATCTATGATCTGATGGAAGTTTAGGGAGAATTACATCTAAAAATAATGCGAAGTCATGTGGATCCATAAATGTATGAGTAAACCGAATATTATCTATTTTTAAAAAATATCTTTTTAAATATTTTCAGAGGCTGGAGCTAAACGTGTGGCCAGAAGGAATTAAATGCTTTCTTTCAGATTGAACAGTGTTCTGACCCCTTCCCTGTATTAGCTGCCTGGTTCCAGACACATTTTGATTGGCCAGAATGCTGTGTTGTGCTATGCAAATAGAATGCTCAGAAGATTTCTGGCTTTATAAGGACTAATAGAAAATGCTGAATTAGAGCCATGAAAAATTCCATTCCTATGGATGAAAAAAGAGGCTAAGACAGGTCATTTTTTTTCCAGGTATGCAAATTTTGTGTTATCTACATATATCTTCGCTCTACCATACCTGAAAGTTGATTGTGTGTGTATCGAGGTAAAACAGTGTTACTTTTTTTAAAAAATCAACTGTCAAAAGCCCTTTCCCCAATTGTTCCGAAATATAGCGCAGAGCAAGAGTAGCCTTTCTGCTACATCTGCACCAAATTTGGTGCTGATCCAAGATCCAGTTTCACAGTTACAATTTATTGTTTGTGGCATCTCTATTTTTTTAATCAATATAAGTTTTTTAATCCTAAAAGCAAAATATATTATTGTGCAGCCATAATTTATTTAGTTGATGAAAAAATCATTGTATATCCAAAATCATGGTGCTCCGACCCATGCAGTTCAAGGGAGAAGTGCATTTCACAACAGCCCTCAATGTGCTTCATTCTCTTTGCTCTTTTAAGTCAGAACTTGACATGGGCACTTTGTATTCATATCTAGGGATATGAAATCTGATTCTCACCCCCAGAACCAGCCAGTCCACTGTGCAGTGCAGGGATCCTCCTTTGGCAGTGGTGCACCAATCCCAGCAGGAGCCCATCCAGCCCTTTCCCACCTCCCTGCACAGCTGACCACTTCAGCACAGAGGCGGGATATGAAATCTCTTCTTAGCTGATAAGTGGCCAACTGCGTGGGGAGGTGGGGAAGGGCCCACTGGGCTCCTGCCAGGATTGGCATGCTTCTACCAAAGGAGGACCCTAGCACTGTGCAGAGCCCAGGGAGTGGGCTGACCAGTTTTGGGGTGGGAACTGAGCACAATGGCACCACAAATTCATATTTTGTATCCATAGATATGAATACAAAATGCCCATGTCTAGTCCAAAAGGGACGTGGTGGCGCTGTGGGCTAAACCGCAGAAGCCTGTGCGGCAGGGGCAGAAGACCAGCAGTCCTAAGATCGAATCCACGCGATGGAGTGAGCTCCCGTCGCTTGTCCCAGCTCCCGCCAACCTAGCGGTTCGAAAGCATGCAAATGCAATAGGGACCACCTCGG